ACATAAGTAGCACACACCACACTAGTTTTATAGATGACTTTCAAGTTATCAGTGTAATGGTTGGTCTAACCTGTGTTAAAGCACCTGCAAATATTGTTGATGTATATTGTTCAACGAAATTGATCCAAGACACTACACTGCACAACATCAATGGTTATTGGTCGAAGTGTAAATGTTGTAGAGTTACTTTCTATTATTTGGTATCTGTTTGTGAGAAAAGAAATGATCCATTGCATTAGGGGGTTTGTAATTCCAACTGACTGAAGTCTGTTGATTAGGTTATGTTGTGCCTTATCAAAGGCTTTCTTAATATCAAAATATAGCATAATCATTCGCTTATTTTGGCCAAGTCTGTCAAGCACGTATTTCAGGTCCCTGTTTTTATGACGGGTCCATTAGATCTTCGATAAGTAGATGATAAGATAAATTATTTTACATCACTTTGTCCATTAAGCGTGATATCATTTGGGTGGTAGTTTTCGACAAGGTTTGACGGTCCTGATTTGTGTTTGAGGACAACATACGTTACCTTCCAGATTTGGGGATATGTACCCGCCTCTAAAGATAATGTGAATACTTTGAGTAATAGAGATTGTATGTCCGGTCCTGACACTATAAAGAATTGGTGGGATATCATCGGCACCAGAACTCTTATTCGGCCTTAGGGTTTTGATGCCGGCGTGTCTGTCTATTAAGATCAAAGTTATCGGTACTAAAATAACTTTTGCTGATGCATTTGATGTTAATATCTGAGGCATGATACGTATTCTTATTGTGGGAAAACCATTCATTTAACAGTTTACAAATGACGGTTTGGTCATAGTATGCCACGCCATCGTGCAGTATGTAATAAATAACGTGCTATTTCTTGCGCGTTTTCCAAGGAGATGACATAATTTTGGGCTTTAGATGCAGTAGTGAGCGCAGTACGTTGACCTCAAATCAGCTTTGATTAAAAAGAGTCAAACGGTTGATGATCGTGATGTACAAGTTACTCCCGTGTATATATCAAAAGAAAGGTTAGATGATTCGTATTGTTACGTATTTTCAAACATGTATCTACGAAAATAAATAAAGTTTTATACATCTGGATGACAGCATTGTCCTACCGCAAATTCTCAAGTTATGATCACCCAGAACTCAAGCCGTTACTATGCAGTTTGGCCAAAGTCCACCAAATTAAGACTAAACCTAGTAATGTATGTTAGTGACAGTAAGATAGGGTTGGTCACCAAATGTGAACAAACAGTCATTTGGCCTACCGACTTAAATTCGTGATTTCCTCCCATCTCATCGATTTCTACTGTGGACTCACTAAATGTAAGTGCTTGTAAATGTGTTGAATAACGTTTTATCTGGCGCTGTTCTGGTTTGAGGTTCCTGGATTTGATCTAACGTGACTGATCTCATCATCGTGTGACGTATTGTCGTAGGGATAAAATATATTTAATCATCGGTTATATTACTTAGGTAGTATAACGAAAACCTGGTAGTCTCACTGCCAAATCAAATAAACACACGTTTATTTATGATAAATTGATCACTTTCAGTGCTATCCCAAGTACAGATTGGACTGATACAGAAAACACGTAATGACTCCACAAAAGACGATTGTAAAGGAATATCGGATTTTTCACAGAGCGTCGAAATTTTCTTGAGAACAATGAATAAAGGCAGATATAGCAGCTACGAACACCGTGCTACTTACCGTAAATTACTGAGACTTTCCCATGAGTTTGAGTAATTACAGGTCAACACAACTAATTGGTGTTTGTCTAGATTGTCTGCTTTGCTTACCCAACTATGACTTTTGAGTTAAGCTGGACATTCACATGATACCGTACTCACCGCTTTATCAGAATTATTGTGAAAGCTGAATAATAGAGCTGAGGCGAGAAACTGGTTTTCATGTTGTTAGGTCAACTTAGCCGCAGAAACTAAGGGGCACGCTCTATATGATCCAGGTTTTTGGACTTCATATAGGAAGTGAAGATTAAATTTTTGGTGATTAGATGTTGTACTAGTGTAGCTTTGTTTACTTTTGTCACCTTTCTGAATATAACTTAATTCGTGTTGATGATGCAGCATTTTCCAATATGTGTTGCAAGTTCTGATATAGTCTTGAGGATGATATGTGCATTTTTCACGTAGTGATGCGAAACGCTTCTGAAAATGATATTACGGGAGGCTCATGTAATGAGTGATGCTAATCACCACCACGATTTCTCCGCATGTTAATATAGTTAAGATGATCATTTATTCTCTGAAGAAGTGTCTTACACTAAGTCACGAAACGTCAGAAAATCTAGTTTTTCTACTCATTGGGATACTAGAAATATATTATTTGTTTTTCTCGGCATGTTAGTTGATATGCTGTTTGATACTGCAATGCAAAAATATGTCAGTGGGTCAATCGCCTTGGTAAGATTTTTCACGGTCGCGTTTACACTTTCGACCTTATATGAAGTCATCAGGGCAGGTTCTGAGTTGCATATATGGATTTTATTTGTTAGAGCGGTTCTGGTTTTCAACAACAGTAAAACAATGAGTTAGGTTTCACTGCATTCTTGGTGAAATCTAACAACACGGCTTCCACAGTTCATGGAAGAGCATTCATATTTGTTCCGCGGAATTTTGACAGAGTTAACAAGGTTGTTTATCTTTTTATACACATGGTTTCAGAAGTAAAACAGGCTTCTATCAACTTAACTGTTGAAAAAAATGTTACCAAACTCGTTAAATTGGGTAGTACTTCTTCGAACGTGTCTTCGCACAGAGACTGAGATAAACATTTATAAGTCTAGGTCTTAAGTTTCATAGATAGAGAGCTTTATCAAAAGTATTCGACTGTTACCCAATTGGGTGCTAGTCAGCTTATCAGCAACGTCTCCGGTAAATAGCTTCCTCAAGAAGTGCGTTGAGTAAGTTCAGAAGTTTGTCCAGTCAGTCCTAAATAAATTCTCCATAGCATGTTCGACGTCTGAATGCTTCGGATTTGGTTCACGACTATAAATGGAAATATTGTGATTCTTGCCTGTGGAAATTTGCATGCATGAACTGAAGGCTGGAAGGTCTATGTGTACAAGTACGTTGGTGCGAAAAGAGGAATATCATGATAACCTAATGTGACATCAGGACAGTTCCAGTTAAGATATCTTGTATGGTACGCTGTTGGAGACTTGCGTGATGTTCTCACACTCGCTAAGCTCAGGTAAATTTTCGGATATTTTGAAGCTGACTCACATCACACCAATTTTCAAAGGAGGTCGACGCAGCGAACCTTCAAGTTACCGACCGGTGGCTCTTCTCTCTATACCTTCAGAAATTATGGAGTCCCTGATATGCGATGGTATACATGACTATTTACGGTCATTAAATTTATTTTCACACCAACAGCATAGTTTCAGGAGGGGTCACTCATGTATAACCGACCTGCTGACTGCGGCGGACAGATGGACAAGCATCCTACAGGAGGTCGGTCGCGGCCCGGATAGCTCAGTGGTAACGTCTCTGACTGTGAAGCTGGGTGACACGGGATCGAATCCGCCAGGGAGCACCAGTTCCCTCGAAGATTACAGGTACACCTTGCTGACGAGTGCCAAGTAGCACGAAACCCGGGTCCAGGGTTTCCTGTCGACTACCTCCAATCACCATCTAATCTCACAATAGTGCCCGCAGTGTCGAGTCACCTAGACTGGTGGCCACATTGCAACATGATCGATAGCATTCGATCTGCACTAATAATAAGGACTAGACACGCATGACATTGGTCACCCAGTGATCAATCAATTGTGAAGGTTGATGTCATTTATCTTGATTTCTTATCAATAAGCTCAAACGATTGGGTATCATATCTCCATTAATTGATTGACTTACTTCGTATCTGAAAATTCGTCATTTTAAGGTTAGGGTTAACTTCACTTTCTCTCAGGTTATGGAATGTCCTAGTGGGGTCTCCCAGAGGTCAGTACTGGAACTTCTTCTTTTCTTGATTTATATAAACGATCTTCCACATGAATTATCATCTGACTTATTACTTTTTGCTGGTGATGTGAAACTTTGGAGAGAGGTACGAGACGGAGAGGATATATTGACACTTTGGGAGGATCTGACTCGACTTCAAAGTTGGGCAGATAACAACGGACTTACCTGTAATACTTCAAAGTGTAAAGTAGTCCATCTGAGACATGTCGCAGACCGCAGTTAGGTCTTAGGAAGCTCCTTTCTAGAGGTATCCCGAGTCAAAAAAGATTTAGGAGTCCTGATATTCTACGATTTGAAGTCTCACACTAACTGTGACAGAAATGCCTTTCGAGCAAACTTTGCACTGGTAACATTGATGCACACTCTCGGTCAGTTTGACGGAAGAACTTTCCACATAATCCTCAAAAGTTTTATGAGTTCACATTTAGAGTACGGGAACATAGTATTTCCTCCCTGACTCGAAGAGGATAAGGACACTCTGGAGTGTATCCAACAGCGAGCCACGAAATCATTTCGGGGACTCAAAATCAAGCCCTATGAAGAGCGCCTCCAATCACTTAACCTTTACCCATTAGAGTATAGGCGTCTTAGAGGTGACCTTCTGATGGCTTACAGTATCCTTAACACTTCCGGACATCCCCTTAAACACCTACTTAAGCTTAGTCCCAATACAAACGTAAGGGACAACACCCAGTAATTGGAGACACAAAATGGCAGAACGGACTGTAGACACAATTTCTTCTTTTTAAGAGTTGTCAAATGCTGTAATTCGCTGCCGGATGAGATAGTCCAAGCGACTTTTCAGGGGTTTTTTAAGAGGAATCTTGACCTATTTTTAAGGACTAAGGATAACATCTAATTATGAGTTGCCAATTTCTTTTTTTAATCTATTATAATTAATATACCTAGGTTCCTGCCTGAAGGTATTGGTGATCCTCTGCTACTAGACACGGAAGCCTGTTAAGCGAAAGCTACTTCCATTTTGTCCACAATCATTTGAACCATTTGTATTTGCTCGACCTTGAACGGCCTAGTGCAGGGCGGCTCAGTTGCTGTGTGTTGGTTGAATGAATTGAGGGTTGGATGAATTCTAGGTGTTCTCATAATTAAATGGTCTGTCAGTGCAGCGAAATCACAAGATCACTGCAAAAATCATTCACTAACATCTCGTTGTTTTATAGTGTACACATTGGTTCGCAACTTGATTTCAAATAGCAATTGTTCTATGTACTTCCAGTTGTGCTTAATAGATTCTAGTTGAGTTTCCATTTTCTACGTTCCCAAGGATTTTTTCCTGGCTCAAAATAACCTGCGTCATGTTATACATCTCATTTAGCTGAGTATACATCAGGAAAACTACCTGTAGCAATGAATGGTCAGTGTCTTTTAGGAAGATTGGGTCGTGAAATAAACGTGATATCACACATTGCTCATAACTTTTCAGGACTGTAATTGGAAGACAAACTAATCAGGTTTACGATGGGCAGTTAGATTTTGACGCGACATGCACACCTAGTTAACTAAATGGCGATTCGTTATTATATGTGGCGCTATAGACAGTCGAATCCCCAACTTCTTATTTCGACTCCTCAAACTAGTTCATAACGCTATTTTGACAATAGTAAGCGGTTCAAGTCTTTGTAAAGCTTCGCGGAGGTCTCCACAAGTTATGGTCTCTCAGATTCTCCCGGTTCGAATTAGTGGGTTCTAGAACCTTATTCCTAAAGCTAAGGCGATGGTGAATTCTTCAGAGTCTTTCGGGGCAGGGCTTAACGACTACTTTGTCTTTGTGGGTACCGGAAGGGGTTACTCCTTATTTTTCGATCAATTCATGGATTTGTGCCATGTTTTAGGGGCGGCCAGACCAAAACATGGCACAAATCCATGAAGTCACTGACAAGTGGACTGAGTCATGTTGGTAGGTGTAGACTACCTGGTTGGGGACCGCGAGACGATAGCAACCGATGGTTAGAGACCTTGAATGACATGGCTCAAAATCGTTTGCAATGGCGCAGGTGCATCCACTCTTTGTGTTCTCTCAAACTCTAATCTTCTGAATTCTTCATGTCCTTTATTTTCTTTCCCAATTTATTCCACTGGACTATACTCCTTTAATAACATCATCAAGCCTTAATGTCCCCTATCTCTACTTATACTTTCAGTACCTCTACCACTATGGGATTTGAATCGATAACTAAATCTCTGTGCTAATGTGGTATGGCAACTCGAACTGATGTACGTACGTACGAAGTTCCACGTTGTTACTGACTGACTGATTGTTATCTAGTTTGTTTTGGCCTAATAGTTTCTTGGAGGAATATGTCAGGAATCATATATGTCTATAGTCCAGAACACTCCCCTAGTAGTTGTTCGCTATTTATAACAAAGGTGTGTCTAAACTGCTGAGCTTTTGCTTTGTTGAGTAGGTAGTAACAGTGACCTTCGAAATTCCTGGTTTCACTGGAGTTTTATGTCAAATTATAGATTTTAATACAGGTATATATCATGAGTCCTAGAGGTTAATTGTAATAGCCCGGAACACTATTGATCGTAATCGGAATAGAAGTCAAACATCGAAGATTAATCTAGTTAATAGTGAGTTGGTGATTTTCTCCTCACGTCCATCAATATTGTTATTTGTAGGTGACAAAATAAAACGGTATTTTAATGTCTAATCAATTTGTATACAGAAAGCTAACAAAAGGCCACTTACCAACTTGAAATAATATGTTCAAAAGAATGCTAAGTGTCGCTACAAGATCGGCCTGCATCAGCGCCTGAATTAATGATGGGAAGTGAAGTAGTTGAGCGTATCGACGGCTCCACTTATTTTGGGGATTTCATCAGTCCTGATGTACCGGAGTCCGGTATGGATTTGGAAAGCTTAAATGACTTTTTCCAACTTGGATCACTTGTGTCGTAATTATAAAAAGAAATCATATTACTGTTGTCAGATTATTAGCACAACACAGTGAAAAAAAAGGTAGCATCTTTGAGTAACTCACTGAATTATATTAATCTTTTTCCGCCCTACTATCTTTTTAATACTTGCTGAAATAAACAGTAACAAAGCGACCATAAGCTATAGAATTAGATTATTTTTACTAATGTCTACACGCGAATCATACCACAGTAAATAATAACCCATACATTTGATGAATAAAATTACTAAGCTAATATTTGAGTTAGACATTAACATCGATCCTGAAATCATGTCCAAGGAAAGCTTAAATGACTTTTTCCAACTTGGAGCACTTGTGCCGTAGGCGAGGTATTTGTCTGTCAGCCAAAAAACGAGTTCACTGTTCGGCAGTTCTATTTTACTACATGGGTGTGAAATATGGTCGTTAAGAATAGATGATATTCGTAGATTATTAGCTCTTTATCACAGGTGTCTCATAAGCATCGCTCGTATATCTTGCAACCACCAAGTAAGCGATGCTGGAGTTAGGGATCGGGTGCTGGGTAAAGATTACAAATCAATTGATGAAGTAGTCAAGAGTTATCATCTGAGGTAGTTGGGACGTGCGTTGCATATGCCCATCCATCGTTTACCTCGATGGGGCGTTGTCTGTTGTAGGAGTAGGTTGGAAGAAAGCTGCAATTAACAAAACTAAAACATGGCATCAGTTCATTAAGTCATTGAAAATTGGATTAAGTAATGTTAATAGGTGTAGACTACCCGGTTAGGGTCCGCTTGGTTGTCATTACCAGTAGTTAGGGACTTTGGATGACATAACTCGAAATCATTTGGGATGGCGCAGGTGCATCTTCTTTTTATCTCCCCTCACATTCTAAGTTTATTAATTCATAACTTTTTATTTCACTGATTTGTATTTCTCGAATCGTCTCTTCAACGCCGAATTTTTTTGTTACTACCTTTACTACTCCGGGATTTGCCATGACAATTTCATTTTGCTGTATTACCGGGTAGGGCAACTTAAACTGATGTTGATATGTATAGGGTTTTAGGTTGCGTTTGATTGACCGACTTCACAAGAAAACGAAAAACTACTTGAGTAACAGAGGAATTAGCTTGACTAATGTGGTTTCCATAAACCTGTGACAAATAAAGATCAGATTACGAACTAAGTAGCTCGTGAAAGAATATCAGGGGTTTAATGTGCAATAACTAGTTCATCACTCCTATTTAACATAGATACTAGTCGAAATCCCATCTTAGTTATATTACTTTATTTAATCCAATCTATGTCCCACTAACAGACTTCAATCACTAATAGTGTCGGCAAAACAAGAATCACGGCAATGAATAAGTGGAATAAGTATTCATAATTTAAAGCAGTACATGAACAATAAAGGACAGATGTGCAATCATAAAACAAAGAATGACCTAGAATAAAATATGAATCAATGTAATTCACCACACTCCGTTTTAATTGTGGGAAAGACAATAGTCGGAACGACAGTACCATCATTGATAATAAGAATCAAACTTAATGAGTACTGTATAAGAACAAATAAGTGAAAAACAAGTAATATTAAATTCGAGATCCTTTGGCTCAAAAGGGACTGACGTCGAGCCCTATCCATTAAGCTCTACAAGTATCGCATTCCAAACATGTTTGTGGACAGGCAACAAACGAATATTGTGCCTGGTTCTTTTACTATTGTTGCATTTCAAGCAATGTAATTACAGGTCATTGTGCGTAAATTATGATGAATCCAACTCGTCTCTGCCTTCCTCCCTTTCAATCTTGGGCTAGCTGTTAGCTTTCTCGGTTTATTTAAAAATAGGATATGTTGTTTCACTTTCTTATCCTAACAGTGTGTAAAATACATGTACTGAAAGGTGGTTTTTTGGTTATGTTATGTCGTCATTGCACTCCCGTTGTTGGAGTGTAGATTATTGACTAATCTCAATAGGTAACTTTGTCACTGACTTCAGTTTTTCGTAATTTAATCTCTAATATACCCAGACAGCTTCCATGCAATATCACCCCTCTGTCTCTTGTACTAATCATGTTTCCATAAGTATATACTTAGATATTTATCGCTCTTGATGATTCGAAACAGTTTAATTAAGTTTCCTTGAACATGATTTCAGGATCGATGTTAATGTCTAACTCAAATATTAGCTTAGTAATCTTATTCATCAAATGTATGGGTTATTATTTACTGTGGTATGATTCGCGTGTAGACATTAGTAAAAATAATCTAATTCTATAGCTTATGGTCGCTTTGTTACTGTTTATTTCAGCAAGTATTAAAAAGATAGTAGGGCGGAAAAAGATTAATATAATTCAGTGAGTTACTCAAAGATGCTACCTTTTTTTTCACTGTGTTGTGCTAATAATCTGACAACAGTAATATGATTTCTTTTTATAATTAACTCATCAGTGTGATGGCTAGGGGCATTACCCGTCTGCCCAAACCGACGTGGGTGGAAAGGGGTTCAGATCTGGTAGGTCTTAACCACGAAGCGACGAGTTGTCACTAAAGTCATTATCATAATAATAAATATTTTTTCTACCCATCTGATGTCTCACTCTTTATCTGGTTTTATCTGTCAGTTAGGTTGTTAAAATTGTAGCTTTTGCTTATTGATTTCTGATTTCAGAGCATGTTGAATGCATTGTTTCGCTTAGTCTAGTGATGGATGCAGTTTTTGGAGGTTTTATATCATAAATTTTATAAACAAACGAACTTCAGATGGATTTATGGAAAAGCATTGAGAAAAATCTGTCTTGGTTTGACTTGTCATCGGAGGTGCGTATGCAGTTGAACGACGACCCAAAGAAGTACGAGGAACAAATTTTGTTACACAGTTTTCGAAACCAGTTGCGCTACACCGGAAATATAGTACAATTGGTATGCAAAGTATTTAGATAATCTGAACTTAAGGTCATAAAACGTGAAAAGAAATACTACGAGAAACTTGTTGATTATGGAAGACAACATTATCTCCTATATCCTTACCACTTGCAAGACAAAATAGTCCGTGGTTTGCAAATTACGCAGTTTGTCTACTACCGTCGCATGATAATTGATCTGATTTCGACTGAAAAGTCATATGACTGTCTCCCAAATTTTACTGCTGCAGATTGCTTACGTTTGTTGGGAATTGGTAGAAATCAGTATATTGAACTTGTAAACACTTACAAGAGTTTCTTGTCGTCAATAGGTCCTGACGAAAATGAAATTCAAGGACTTCTTTGTGACATTCTGCCGTCACAGCCAATCGATAAAGTCATATTTGAGCCCTGGTATGTAGTTCGTATTGGATCAGTTATGTTATCTGACATACAAGCATCTACGGATTCCGAGCGCATAACGATCGACCAGTTGATAGATGCTGAGAAAGCAGATGACCTGGAGGAAACCAACCAAGTCAGTCCCGGAATCCTGGTTAAAGATCTTGATCAAAATATCATCAAAGGACTTTACCTTCGTGGTTTGATCTACATTGATATTCCAGTGTCTTGTAACGATAAGATATGTGTCCCCACACTTGAGGGCTTCGTAATGAATCGCATCAGTGGAGATATTAGGGAAAATCTTTTATACAAGATTTTTGTCACTGCTGATGAGAATACATCCGTTAGTGAACTAGCCGAGTGTCTGCAGGTAGATGTGAACTCAGTAAAACAGGCTGCTTCTATATTTTGTCGGTTGGGGTTCGCTCAAAAACGGATTGGACGTCCGGAGAGTCGAACAAAGCCTTTTCAAATTCCAATATCCAATGAGGAGTCTGATACGCTGCTACACACGGGAAACTCAGTTGTCGACGCAAACTTAGATTCTTTTCCATCTGTAGATGACCACTCTCAGCAGAAAAAAAAGTTGGTACTGATATTTGATTCGACCATCACAGCTTATCTAATGATGGGAAATTTATCACCCAACTTAAAGCCTCATGCAGTTACAATGTTTGAAGTTGGGAAATTATCAGATGATTCATTGAATTCTTTCATATTTGAATTAAACCATCTTGCTCCTGTTTCAGAAGGTGAAGCCGGAGTTTATCGCGAGTATGCTCTGAATTTAAGAAAAACAATCCACTTTTTGCGTAGTCAGGCTTCATTAGACTCAACGGACTTTAGTGATGTGGATTTAATTAGAGGTGGTTCGTTATTAAGTTTAGAGGCTGAAACACGCATACGAGTTTTGCACAAAAACTATAACATAGTTGTGAGCCTTATTCCCTCAACATATGAAGACCAGCAAGCTTCTGATTCCCAATGGCCACCACATTTAGGACCACCTATATCAGAAGCTAATTCTCCGTGGTTCGGTCTTTTCATTTCATGTATTGCAAGCAATGCGATTCAAAGAAAACAGAATCCCAGTGTTAATGTATTGCCTACTCTTTTGATAACATGTGGTACTAGAATATCTAGACTTCCTTTACCTTTACGAGGAATTTCACGCTTCTGGCTTACTGCATGGGGTCATGATGCTGTAGTGGTAGATTCAACTAGTTTTTTAACCACAGCAAACGATATGCTTCTATCATCACCTGTACTTATCCAAGTGAGTTTTATCGATAATATCTATTTTACTCTGATTCCGAGATACACTAATCGTATGTCAGAAAATTTTGAATCAGTTCTAATGTTAAATTAATGATTTCCTCATTAAACAATCTTTCTATGTAGAAAAGTTTGTTGTCTGAATTCGGTATTTAATATTTGTAGAAAAATAAAGAATAAATGCATCTGAGCCATTAAGACGGATTACAAGTCATAACACTCAAAGCTTCTAACGACTAATTTACGTCACTATAAGAATTTGAAAACAGCACTTTACTTAGACTAACAGTCAAGTAATCCCTGAACTAGTACCATGTGTCACTTTTAAGGTTATTAGCTTTTATAAAATTAAGTTCCTCTACATGTTTTATCGGACGTCCAGGTAAACGGCCAGTCACTATACCTGATGTAATTTCTAGACATCTTGATTTATAAAACTACACAACATTTACTACCTTGTTCTTACTTTGACCACAATACAACCGCAAGATTCCATGATCCCACTACAAGTAAATAATGCTTGAGGGAAGTTTTCACCATGACATTTGTGCTGTATAAATGTCTTCCATTATATCTTATTGCTGTAAATTAAGATCATAAATCCCTGTTGTTCCAGTAGGTTATTAAAACTTTCGAACTAGTTTTCTGATCTGACAAGGGTCCATATGTTTTATCAAAAATCCTACTTCGCTTTCTTCGAAAATATGATAGTCTAACAAAAACCTAAGGTCTAATTATTTTAAACTGCTAGTATGTCTTGATCAGTTTAATATTCTGTTAGATATGCTTTGATTTTACATTATAATCAGGCGTTCTTGCGATCGACTGGTTCAGTTGTGGTTACTTACTTGACCAAGCCTATCACCGTATTTCGGTGCGATCTTCTGCATTCATCTCCACAGACTAAATACAATGTAACTACGTATTACTTATTATTTTTGTGATAATTTGTTGATAGTACGAGAGCAGACGTATTACATTTGGCATTATTCCGCTACATTTCCCAATGGGAAAACAGACCTATTTCTATGATCAAAAACAGCCTGTTATATAATAAAGTTGATTAGCTGAAGTATACTCATATTTGTTGTCTCACTGTTATGTATACCAAAAGTTAAATCATTCTCACTTGAAAACAGCGAGTTATTATCAAAAAAGCCTTTTAATGTTCCTCTAAGTTGAATTCTTGCATTATCTTTCAGTCTATTCAGACAGTAGGATTTTATGGTACCTCCTTGGAAGGCGCTGTGTCACAGATGTTACTGTTTTTTAGTGTATTTTAAAAAATAATTTCTCTGGCTGATACTAAAAGTCAAACACTGATTGTCCGTTCATTCAGTACAGACTCCGAAGTACTTTGTGGCACCGTTTGCGATTTCCCATTCAAATATCTGATGAGAAAGGCTGCACAATGTACTGGTAATTATTACCATAAATTTCAATTTTTCTATAATCTCAAGACAAGTTAAAACAGAATTATTACCATTCAACCCATGTGGATTTGGTTGAAATTCCTATAATTAGGGGGATATCTAATACCTGTTATCACAGTCACATCGTAGCCGCCAAATTTTTTTTAACAATATCTCCATATCTCAGATTAGGTTCCAGTTAAAGTGCTAATGATTTTTTTCCTTCCTTAGATCTTTTGTAGTTGGTTACTTTCATTTTGCTTTGCTCAAACCTTTTTCCTTTGAAAAGGCTATCGAAAGTTATGAATTTGAAGAAAATTTATCCCAGAGATATATACCTTTACCTATTTCCAAGGAATTCCTACAACATTCATCCAATTGTGTACCAGAATTCATAATACATCTTATGAACGTTATCGATTTAACCTATGTCTCTGGATATATCGTAGTACTGGCTCCGATGAACAAGTGTGAACACGACCAAGATCTGAATAAACTAGCTTCAGAAGACCAAAATTTCTTATTAACTAGCACAGATTCCATTTTACAACGCGATCAACAAAAAAGTGAATACACTTGTTCTAGGAAAGCTGTTTTAGTGGAAAATGAATTGCTCACTATTATGAAAGAGCATAAACCCATCTATTTAATTACTTTACGTCTAGGTTTGCCCATTTTTAACATGGAATTAAATCACGCAGTTTGTGCTCAAATATCTGGTCAGAATTTACTATCCACTAATAACCGCAATCATCTTGAAGCTACTAATCATCTACTTGTTGAAGAACTTACAAAATTTATTTTTAATGACTGTTCAGGTTTGTTGCCTAACCAAAACCAGTGTAGTTATTCAACCCTTGTTACCAGTTCTGGTGGTAATTTTCCTGATACCTGGCCTCTTCCTACAAAAAATATGATGTGCGCCAATGGTATTTTGTCATTTTTTTAGTCTTTTTCGCCACACCTAATAATATTTAATCTGCAATTATTTTTGGTTGTAACGAGTACATATCTATTTTGGTCAAATGATTTAATCGTCTGATGAGCACTCATTTTAATTTTTTGTGTGGATTATCTGTTATTCAGGTATCACTTAGGTTTTGTCTTTTTCTATTTTTAATTTCTATCCATCCTTTCTTTTTTTTATTTAACCCTAAAAATATATTGTCATACCTTTAACAGCAGTACATATCGTTCTGTTTATTCCTTAATTGATTTCTGACCAAGTCATGTCCTCTGTATATCAGTAACCGCATATTGGATACATTAGCGATCAACGTGAACTTGGCAATTAGATTACAGGTAGTTTCGAACAAGTTATAACTTAAAAATAACCCTGTATAAAATCTTTCATTTACATAAAATCAAGTTGCTGGACAATGTCGGAGAGTATTTTTAATCTATAATATTTTCCAGACCGCTGACAAGCAGTAGGCTCAAGGAAATTTTTTCTAATCAATTTCTAAGTTGTACCAAAGTTTCGTAATTTTGTCCCAACTAAATTCACATCAAGAATATAATCTTATCGTCTCAAGAGAGTTATACTATCATGACTTGCTTATCCAAAAATGTCAAGGTAACCCATTGTCATCGAATAAAGAGAACTCAACAGAACATTTTTTCAACGATATCTTCTACTAAAGCTGTTTGTGGTGTAATGAATATTTGAGCCTCAAAAAAGCGATCACATCAGAAATTTCTCCAAGACTTCAATTGTAAGGAGAATTTCGCGTAATCTAGAGGTTTGAGAAGAATAGGAGGTTAATAATTATCTACTGATCTAAAATATGAGCGACAATTATCCGCTTGACAGATATGGAAAAGACGTAAAATGCGTTTAGGACATCATAACTGATTAATTATCATGTTTATTTATTTGAATACATAAATATTGGTACAAAGAGGCACCGAATACATGTGCGCGACACAAGTCACTTGATTTGTATGTGGGCTGTGATACTGCCCTGGTGCCCAGACCGAAGCCGGTCGATTTCTTGAGGGGACACACGCGGAGCCTTCGACTTAAAGATCTAATCCACAAGGCAATGGAGCAACGTCAGGAGATGCAGTCCCATGGTGGCCGGTTACCAATAATTGGTTCATACGCCATTTGTTCCGTCAGGGTCCCGGAACCCACGTACACCACTGGTTTGGAATCAGGGTTTTCCAACTTCACTAGGTGGATCTTCCGTGTCCACCAACCCGGTTAAAGCGCTGGACATTCGCTTTCCGTCCTCTCAATTTTGTAAACAACACTCCTACCGCGACAAGGCAGCGAGTAGGACTTCCCTGGCAGTGGCTGTATACGTGTGGCCATGTGAGAGCATTTCGAGAGGGATAGCTGACTCTCCTCACCCTCGGCCATACCATTTGGGGGCTGATTATGGATATTTGTAAGAGGGTGATGATAGCTGGTTACGCTTTAAAAGTACAATATGACAGTGAAAACGAAACTAAGGCATTCTGAAAAGTGTCAAGCCAAAGGCAAAATGAAAGGTTGCACGTGTCTCTTTTGGACGCAGTGTTCAGATTTGGATTAATAAATCATCGTCGCCTCAGCAGTACAGAAGTTTTTTATTCAACCTCTCTTTATTCATGTAGATCCTTTCGAAGTGTGATTTTTCTGGGGCAACATTGCCTGGAGTTGGAAAATACGCTCCTGTACTGAGCTTCTGATTACCTTGGATTCCTTTTTGAAAACTCCACGCTATGTACTGTTCTGAGATGCGTTCAGAAAGTGTTCGCTTAGTGGAATCAATGAAACTCGGCCCTCGATAACAAATGATGTATGCACATCGATGTGGCTCAAAGAGAAAGTTTACTCATAACACATCTATGAATGGTAGCCCATTTGGAGTAGACAATATAAAGCTTAGCTGAGTAGAAAGTTTTCAGAGATCTTGAAATCGGTTTATTCAGAAATTCCTCAAATTTGCCATTCTTTCGTACCATCAGTGATCCTTCAGGTAGTAAGCTAGAACAAATAAATGACGGTTCTTCTAAATGAAGGCAGTGACAAAATGTCTTCTGATCACAATGAGCAATCAGGCAATTACGTGTGAGATACGTTTCTCTGCCTCTCAATTCGAAGTTTTTCCTTAGGACTGCTTCACTTCCGCCTAAATTAATGGTGGGGAGTAAGATAGTTGAATGCGTTTACCATCCTTGAAACATTATCAGACCTGGTGTCTGATGAAGTCTCAGCGTAGATTTGGAAATCTCGCTTGGCTTATGCCAGCTCCTATCACCTTTGGCGCAGACTAAGACATCTGTCTTCTAATCAAGAAGTGAGTGTACTGCATAATAGTTCACTCGATTTTCATTTATCGTTATGAAAGATAGACTTAAAAAGTAAGTGGCATTCTTGAGTTGCTAGTATTTGATCATACATGCCTTGAAACATTGATTTTCATTTATATTTACTTTATAGATTCCATACTCTTTTAATCACTTTATTTTCTTTTGTTTCCGTCTCGAATTTCATCGTTTTATTATACTTTATTCCTGTCATTATAAATACCGCAAACATTCACAAACGAGTTTCCATACAAACTAGTGATGACGTGTTTCTTATCATTCCTGAATATTAGTGAATCTGCTTTTTTGGGGAAGGAAATAAAATTATCAGTTATTTTAACATTTATTGATGTTTACTTTGTGTTTTCTCAGGTATTTTTTAAATAGATTTATCACGTGTATTTTCAAATAATATTTATCAAACAGTTGTATAATTGTGTTTTATTGAATCTTAATTGTGAAATTTCTTTCAACTCGGTTACTGTTGTATTCTTTCACCGTTCGAAAAATAATAAACAACTGTAAATGTTTGAGTCAATTTGTGTTGAGAATTCCATAGTTGTTAACTCGTCGAAATTTCCAAACGGTACGTTATCAACCCCATATTTCGGTAGTGTATCCACGTCATCCATGAGTAGAACTTACTATTTGTGTTCATTCGTCCTGCCTTTTACTCGGAGTTTGGGAAGGCATGGAATTCACAGGACATAACAAATGTGCTGAAACACAATAAAATAAAAGATCTACCCTTATATCAGCATTCGACTCATTTCCGTCTGATTGAAAATTACTGGAAGTTAATTGTAATGTCGCAGTTCCTACGTTATTGTTTATTCAATGAATTGTACCAAAAGTAATTTGTGGAATTAATTCAAACTGTCAACTCTCACTAAGCAACCATACTGTTTGGCTCGTGTAGTTTGCGTGAGAAGCTTATGGTTAGTTCACATACTAAATACTGTGTAACTAATTGACTACCATTTGTACTACAGTTGACTCGATCACTTTAAGAACATAACCATACCATTCAAATATGATGGTAACATTATATCAACAGTCATAATTTGAACATTTGTTCGTATCTGCTACTCAACACTCTAAAAGTTTATTAACATAATTTACTTATCCTTTTAGAAAACAACCAACGCTGGGTGACAAAACTAAATATTCATTTGTCTACGTCACTGTCAACATTGATTGAATCAAACGTCATGAACTAGACAATAAGTTATTTTAAGCTTCTCTCTATCCATGTTAATATAAGAAGTAACTAGGTACGTTGTGGAAGATTCATAAAGACTATTTCCTTAATTTTGTTTGACAAGACTGCTTCATCACATTCAATCAATCAGACGAATAAAGGGGATTTGAGTAAATTCGAGAGAACTAAAAGATCAGGCAAGTCAGTCAGTAACAACGTAGAACTTCGTACATACCTACGTCAGTTCGAGTTGCCATACCACATTAGCACAGAGATTCAGTTATCGATTCAAATCCCGTAGTGGTAGAAGTAGTAAGAGTATAAGCAGTAATAGGGAACATTAGGGTTTGAAGATGTTATTCAAGGAGTATAATCCAGTGAAACAAATTTGGAAAGAGGAAAAAAGAGGCACGAAGAATCCAGAAGATTAGAAATCGGGAGAACACAGAGTGGATGCACCTGCGCCATTGCATACGATTTCGAGCCATGTCATTCAAGGTCTTTAACCATCGGTTGCTATCATCTCGCGGTCCCCAACCAGGTAGTCTACCCCTAATGACATGGTTCAGTGCACCTGTCAGTGACTTCATGGATTTGTGCCGTGTTTGTTCTGGCCACCCTTAGCTTTCTTTCAACCTACTCCTACACCATAAAACATTGCACGTCGGGGCAGTTGGTGGTTGAGTATACGTAACACGTGTCCCAGCCATGAAGTCTCACTACTTCAGTTGATTTGCCATCCTCACCTAGTACCCATTTCCTAACAATTGCATTACTTACTCGGTGGTCCCGGGATATACAAGCAATACTTCGAAGATACTTATGATCGAATACTAGTAACCTACGAATATCTTCTACTCTTACCGGCCGTTTCACTGCCATAGAGTAGGACGGAACGAACTGCTGTTCAGTAAACACGTCCTTCGGTTGATAGACGGATATCTCGCCTATGCCATAAATGACGCAAGTTGGCAAAAACTAGTCTAAAAGATTAGGCAAGTCAAACACATAAACGTTTTCACATGTTCTTTCTCAATTTATATTTTTCCTTTTGACTGATCAAGAAACAATTTTCAAAATAGTATTTTTTTTTAATCTTTTTAATAAAGCTCCCACGTGAAATTTAACTCTCGTATCATACTGAAATTAGGAATAGTTGATAAATCCCGAGATGAACTTGAAAATAACTCATGAAACGTTTATACTTATATATCACATTGACAAACGAAATAAAATTAGTGACTAAACAAGATTATAAGAAAATACAAGGTGCATATTGTTTTTTTGAAGAGATCAAACGAAAATCATCAGATGTTTATATCATGCTAAAGGATATTTGGCTTGACATCACAACTCCAAAAAGTTACGATTCAAAGAAATATAGTGATTGAAATCGTTGGAATATCATTAATATTTGAATGTCCTATTAAGTGTATAAGAAAGATCAGAAAAGTTTTGGCTGCTACATGGTTCGAACCTGTGGCACAATAGTTATACTACAACAGTTAACATTTATACATAAGCTGAATTACATCTTAGCCAATTTGTATAAACTTGGTAGTATAGGTGACTTATGTTTATAAGTTGATTGTATATTGAATCTGTACAATTCATCATAACCTTCCTTTGGTGCCAGAATTGCTGAATCAATCAGTGGAAGTTGTAAAATCCCACGACTTATTCTTGCAAAACATGTTTTGTTTAAATTCATCTTTTTGCATAAATTTGATGGTTCTTTATGACTTGCGAATAATGAATCAGTTTGCACAGCTATTGAATGTAAAACTGGAGTGTTAGTTCGTCTTACTGATTGACGTGAACATTTTGATAATTCTTTAATTAAATTAGTAGTGGGAATATTTTGCTTTGCATCGACTATTGGTTCTAAACCGAATTTCAACGCTAATGGGAAGTCCGACGTTGAATCACTGATTAAATAAATAATTAGTTTTAAAAAGTAGTTTGAGTAAGTAACATTTTCGTACAGATAAGCACAAAATAATTTTAATTGTATAAAATAGTTAGTGACAGCTAACCTAGTGCCACCAAAGCAATTAAAATGAAGTATTCAAACTTCATTGAATATAACTCATCCACCAAGTAAAGGTTTACATAGTTAACTTTGAGCCACTTTTTACACGAAGTGAAGCAGATTGAAGGTTGAAGCCTAGGTTCTTTTAACCAAAAAAACCATGACTGGTCTGGATTCACCAATTTGAGGAAGTTATTCTTTATTACCTCAAGTTAAGCAGCTGACTAACAGAAAGAAGCTGTTCTTTAGTCTTTAATGATTATCTCAAGGTTAATCAAAACCACTTACTTGAGCACAAACTTTTATTATTTATGAATGACTTTATCGAACTAATACTTGCTTGACTAAAACACATAATTTTATTGATCTTATAGCTTATCATTAATTAGTCTGAGAACAACAGTCGTACACTTCTGAATGAAGTTGTGGATTTTACACTGTTGTATGATTTAGTAGTTCAGTAGATAGCGCGGGTTTATGCTTGGTGTGAAAAAGTATTGTGTTTGAGTTTAGATATTAAGATTGTGATGCAGGCATTTGCGGTTAATGAGTCCCAAGTGGGACAAAACATGCGTCCTGGACTGCACTGTTAACTACTGTCTAACTTAGACAAAGAATTTGACGTATTATTTCTGAACATTTTACACGCCAAAATCACTGAATCTAAGACTTACCGATCTTTTCCACATGAATCCAACAATGATCCACTAGATTCATTGTTGTTTGATGAAAATTTCCCAGTCTGGTTGTCACTTTTAGCCAATGAAGAACTGGAAAATGTATGCAGAGAATTACTAAACATAACCTTATTACCACGTGATGACTGCTTTATTGATGCTGAGGGTATACTTCTAGTTATTTGATCTAATCGAAAGTCTCCAATTTGATATGGAGTAATACGTGAAATAAGCTGATCACATGTATAAATTAAGATAAAGAATGCAGTCAGTAAATGATCATGACGTTGAATTCGTTCAGCTAAATTCAGTTTCATAGCATTTTCCGGTTCTAACATCTGTTTGGGGAAATTATGTACAGAAATACAACATTAAACATAGAAACCTGGATAAATTTCTTATATATATAATGACATGTAGGTCAGTTCGAACAGATCAATATGAGTAAGATAAAGTAAGCTTACTTCATAGGCTTCCCATAACGCAGTTTTGCAATCAAACACTAGTTGATATAGACTGTTTCTAGCTTTAATCAATTGTTTCAAACGATAAAGTTCTTTATTCTTCAGATTCATGTATCCTTCATATTGAAATAATGTATGCTCGTACTTAGATCTTTTAAAAAAATATAAAATAGTATGCTTGTTAAATTAAATATCTTACTAAATAAATTTTTAGAGAATTTCTATAAACTAAAAATGCAAATCTATAATTTGAAATACAAGTAAGTACTGATAGAATTTAAGTGGTAACGAACTTAGTAACTTTGTTATGTTATCATACTTTTTGACGAATATATGAGTAAAAAATCTGAAATATTATAAATGATCTATTCAATAATTGAGATATTTTTTAAATTTTTAAATAGCCAGTTTCCGATCAAATCATTAATCATCTAAAATCTAATGTTTTATTCAGTTATTGATGATTGTATATATTGTTTGTCTTGGATTGTTACATTGATGTTCTTTTTGTAATTAACTGTTTTATTTAATTAATCAGCCTATTAGCACTCGATAAAAAGTAAATTTATATTAAATACTTTAATTTATGCATTAATTTGCCACAATTTATTTTGTAGATACAATTTAGTTAAACACGGCTTTCAATCTTCTAATGTTAATGTTTTGAAGTATATTCCATATATACTGCCTATATAGACTTATAATTCTTTTTAATATATGAGTAGCTTGTAGTTTTGATGTTGAAAGTTGACAAAAACTTATTCTATAGTGTATATACTTAATTAATATCATCTTCCTTTATGAAAAATAAACATATTGAAAGCTTAACTGACAAAAACAAATGACAGTGAAACATCGATAATTACTGTGTTTATCGACGCTTTTTTCACAAACATTCGGTAGTATTTAAATTATAATTCAATTATCCAACAAAAATTGTAAATCTCCCGGTTATTACAAAGATTAGCATTCAAACAGTTAACATAGAAATCATTTTCAAGTTTTTAAAACTGGTCAAGTGGTAACTAACTATTTTTAATCTTAAGCATTTTGGAAAGACAATTTCAAATTCGTTAACAGATTAAGTTTAAACTGGAAGTTTGTTAACCCTCAAAATTTTTCAAAAATTTCTTTTTTAAATATTGTGTTTTGTAATTGCGTATGATCAATTGTTATAAGTATTTTTAATTTATCAATGATATAAGCTATTTAAGAAACTGTGTATTTACTAACTCAAATAGATACTAATCGTTTACTTAACATTAGTTACAAAACTAATAAATATACATAACGTTATTAATTTCAAATCGACTCGAACAGTTAACTGCTTTGAATTTAGTTTAAGTCAAGAACTAAAATCAATTGGAATAAAAAAGGAAACTAGTTTGGGGTTTTTCACTAGTGTTCACAGGATCAAACTCAAAAACTTCAGATTTACCAACAAACAAGATGACACTTAGACTATAATGTTCGGGATGTCAAACTTCAAACAATGACTGTTAGTTCTATAAAGTTTCGGACTAGGAAAAATATAATTGTAAAATGCTCTTTGATTCTGAGCAATTATTCAGTTCATTTCTTTTAGTGTTTGGTAAGTTTTATTAAACCATCTGCATCAGTAGTTTCTAAATAAGTAGCAGCCAAGAAAACTCCCATTCTTGAACAATTATAATATAGCTATATTTTGTTTGAATGGTTATCATGGGCAGAAAAATTGATCGCAAGACAAAATTACAACCAATTTTATACGACAAACTTCATTTTCTTATTTCACTTTTAGTAACAACGTTGCTTTTTATCATTTAATCTGGCTCAATAAATAACTTATGATATCTTCGTTCAAGTGAATAATTTCTTGTTATTCGTTAAATTTTATTTGAATCTGTCAACTAAGAATGTAAAACAATAAAATTGATCATCTAATAAATGTGTAATTTAAGGCTAATCGTATAATATGGATGATTTAGTGTAAGAAAGGAAACACTTTCGTTGTATCAACAAAGAAAATGCTGAAAAATAAACAATCAGTTTATGCATAGTTATTACTGTAACCTTAATGTTTGTAAATCAGCATTTAGTTGAACTTCTTTAGTAGTAATAAATTTTATTTGTTCGTCAAATAAATCATTGTTCATTGGGTCGATAGTTTTGTCACTTGTAAATGATTTCATTATTGAAGATAATTTCTGTTCTTTCTCTAAACAACTGGATACTGAACCTTTTAAAGACTTCAGAAAAAAAGTAAAAGAGATGAAAAACACTTTTATAAACTTACTGAATTGTTCTAAATATTTTAGGAGAATTAATAGCTAATTTAATTTTGAGTGTACATTTGAAAAGTATGAAGAGCTATTAGATATTAAGTTATATGAAGCTACCTATCGTGAATTGTTTATGAAAACGGTATTTATCATGTTCAAAAGAGCAGAAAATTGAACTTGTGATTTCTTTCTCGGAGAAAAATAAATTGATTCAAGTTAACACAAGTGTAAATAGCGAAATGTGCAAGTCAGTTTAAGGTAAACAGCCCTATTCATGATGCAGTTATGTCACTTGTATCACTGATAATTGTTTTAAATGTTGAAAGAGATGATTAAATACCATATTAGTTCAAGCTATTCAGATTTATATAAACAATTAATATATACGAAAAGGAATGTATTAAAAGAGGTTCAAGGGAGCATCATCTTGTTACTATCAACTGCTGTGATATGGGGACGTGAATACGTTTACTCAGAATGATCTGTAAAAATATTTCCTAAATGTTTTTCTTCTGGGTATACTTACATATGTCTAACAATTCACCTACACTTAGTATCCTTTGATAAATTCCATTAATCTATTGATTATCGAATAAAATTATTCAGAAGAAACTAATAGAGCCGAAAATCGAACAACATCGATCAGTTATTTTATATACGCGTTCTCATTTGAAATACATACTGTAAAACACTGTTATTTACTTCGTATATTATTGATATTTACTTCCTCACGTAAAGTTAGAAGTAAAGTTCAAACCAATATCTCAAAGTAACTAGCATACAAGTGCCTCGATCATTGACTTTTACTTTCACCACAATAGACAGAAATTTCACCGATTAGAAACTGAGATTTTACTTACTTTGACATGATTCGACCAGTTCTTATGCATTTGATCTCTTAGTTCCTGTAGTATGTTTATATCATGCTTCAGTTGTCTTGTAGCTTGTTTATAGGATTTATGTTTACCCATGATATGAGATATTTTGTTGCTTAGATTTGCCAACTTGTCATTAAGTTTATAATTGTATTCTAATGTTCGACGTTCTGTTTTATTAACTCGTTTCTCTGTGCCAATTCGAAATTCGCTAGCCAAATGTGAAACCCTGCTTAACATCTCTTTGAATAATCTGTAATTTGCATATTGTTTTGAGACAATAAGATTTCAATATTACCAACAAACCAAGTGTTCGACAAACTTTCATTTAAACTTAATTATGTCATACCATGAATAAAATGACAAGAGCCTAAACTAGTTTTTTGAAAATCTCTATAACACGTAAACAGGGTCTAATCTATGCAGAAATATACCGAGCATAGTTGGATGGAAACAAAATTTTATGAAACTGACGTGATGCAGTTTGTTCATCTTTGTTGGATAAGATGATTATGGAAAAATATTTACTTTAAGTCATTCGAAAACATAGTATGATTTCCGCGTCGGTGTAGGAGTGACATGAAACAAACCTCATTATGATCAGCAAACAGAAGTTGTGTAGATTGGTTCAATTTGTAGTTGGCTGAGCCAACTAATGATGTCTCCGATAGTTATTATTTATTCTCTGAAGAAATGGCTTACAGTGAGTCATGAAACGTCAGGAAATTCAATTTTTCTACACATTGGGACATTGCATATATATTAATTTATCTATCTCTGATAGTTAGTTTGAGATGACATTAGACCATAAATATATGTAATTTACCTCATTAAAACTGCTGTGTGATTATAGCTAATATTTGTATTGGCCACTAGTGTTTTTTCAATCACCGCCAACTTATAGACACAGATACTTGATTGTTTGTAGATCTTATTGCTGATTGCTCTTTAAATTTTTTTCTATGTTCCTACAGTTACTTGATACTGGTGTATCATTGTTTTTACTACTTCCTTACCCTTCTAACTCAGAGTATACTAACTTGGATTAACAAATAATTTTTACAAAACACTTCATTGTTGCCTTTTATCTACTTATCGTTACATTTTAATACGTTCAGATGAATCATCGGGTAATAGGACTAAAGGAACAAAAATAACATCCAGGAGTTTGAACGCGATTCCAATGAATGACATTTTAAAAACTACTATCATACAGTACGTCATCAATCATCCAGTTTTATTTGTTTATTTATTACTAAACCTGGACATGGTGTAATAACAATTACTTCTTTGTTTTATAACTGATTTTGCATTTGAAAATGTTCTCTTCCCACAATCACTTCTCATATCCTCATATTTTAATTACAATTCTTTGAAGTAAGTTCATCTGATCTCACTAATATCTGTAATTACTGTGACAAAAACAGTTTAGTTGTCTTACTCTATCCACTGACAGATTATTAACAGATTTTTTCATTTGAACGAGTCTTACAGAAGTTGTGCAACTCCCTTTTGTCATTATTTGCACTAGTTTTTATCACTAACTATATTTGCCGGGTAATTGTTAAGTTCTAAAATTTCACATATGGACGATTTCATAGCCCAGTATTAAATTCACTAAAACAACATCCTAATAATAATCATATGATGAAATATCTAATGGTCACATAAACTGATTAGCCTTTGGTTATATCGAGACTAGAATATCTAATTAGGAAACTATTTTGATGAAAGGAAATTGATTCCGTACCTCACATGTGCTTAAAATTCGAATCCAGCACTCTGTGACTAGATGGAAATCAAAACCTAAGTTGTGTTACGACTCTAGCTTAAAGTTTGTTGACAAACCTTATGCACAGACCTCAATGTATTAAGTGGTTGAGGGTTTGGTGAGGTCAGCATGAGTAAGCAAACTTTATATTTTGTCTGCTCAAATGTTTTGTGTAATTATTTGGAAGATAGATTAGGATTAATATTACAGTTATACAAACAGCCCGATTTGCGGAAACAAATAAAAACGTTTTACAGCGGTCAACTATAGCGCGTTTATTAAAATTAAATATGATAGTTCTATAGCAACTTTAATCTCCTTACTTTTCTGTTATCAATTCGTTTATGATTTCAACACTTATGTTGAAATTAATTTCCATACAGTCACTTGAAACATAGCTTAGAGATTGTGCGAACAGATTTACTGGAAGAATCCATCAATTTAACAGGCATTCATCAATTGTCTATATATCTTTATTGTTTATTTACACTCCATATTACGTGTAAATATATAATAGAAACTTTAGTAACATAAGATAATTGGATTTTCTGCCAGAAACTTTTACCTCAAAATCTTCATGAAGCGTTAACTTTTGGCCGGAAAATTCTAACTAGACCATTGTAAAATTGTTTCTGTTACAGATTATATCCACAAAAAGACATTATAAGCGAATAGGCATTTGATTGCTGTTTCAAAGCTTGATCAGTAAACGTCTAATAAGATAAAATTACCATTTTACCAGGGCAAGAGCACATATCAATATAACAAAAATAAGAGTTGAGTGAATACAATGACATGCTTGGTATCTTATGGCTTAGAGCTTAAAGAAAATCCTCGAAAAACCGCCCAACACAAGGCAGAATAGTGTTTTTCAACCAGCAAAACCATCGAGTACCTTAAAAACATTGATATTATGAATACGGTCTGACTTGCAAATAGCTAACCTGCATATCAAAATACAATGATGTCTAGTGATCCTAACTTCAGTTAATCTTGTCGGACAGATTGTTGACGAAAGTTTTATGGAAAATCAAAAAATAAGCGCAATTATTTCATTAAACGAACAGCATGGTTGTTATTTGAATACATTAGAACTTACTGATCTTGAGAAACAGTTAGTTCTAAATCTTTTTCATGATATATGGACTTATTGACTTTCAATGTTTCTTCGATTAAATTTTGTATTTCTGTTGTCTTGTATTGTAGTTGAGCTCGCTCAACACTAAAATTTTCGAGAGACTCAACTTTTCCTGCTACATATATATCAATCACAATGTAAGAGAAACAAATATACTCAAAACTGCTTTCTCTGAGTTCAACTTTTCTTCAATAGCTTCGATATCTAATCTCAGACTGACTACAATTTTGTTGTGCTCTTTATGCTTTTCACTCATTCTTCTAAGTAACGTGCTGAGATTTTGTTTCAAACCATCAATGTCATTATCTATATTCTATTGTTTGAAAAAAGCTTGGGTGTACTTAACCTTTATTTTGAATGCAGTTTTGTAAATATGTGATAAGTCCCTTGCCATCTGATTCAATGTTGTGGACTTTAGACGTTGTTTGAAGAATAAGATCCTTAAAATTATCTATCACGTACTGATAGCTAATAGTTTTATAAAGATAGGAATAAAATACTCTTTAATTTTCTTTTTCAGTATCTCAATCTGCGCTTCATAAATTTCCGAATCGTAAGAAACACTGGAAGCAACACTTGAAGTCCTTTCTTTCTTCCTGGAGGAGCTAGTACTTTTTCTACTTTTCTTCCTTTTTCTTGCCATTCCGAGATACAAGAAATGTGAATCATATTCCGTCCATGTGGTTGTTATGGCTATTTCTGACTTCTACTAATTTAAACAAGCGGAACGGTCTAATATCCTTGTAACGAACTTGCATGAGCGAACAAATCCCTATGTGGTCGCCCAGTGATTTTAATATGCGGTCTTGGTTTTTTGGTTCTGTCCAAAGTGAATGTTCTAGTTATTCACTCGCACTCATCTTTTGAATTTAATAGGCAATTAAGGATTTAATATTTCCTAAGTAAAAATCAATTTCAGTTTGAAAAGAACAGAATTCTAGACAGCCTGTGTTTGTTCTTGCAATGATATCTCTTAGTTGGTATAAATTTCTTTTGAAAGCCTAGACGGATAGAGCTTCAATAACGTACTGAGTTAAGGGATTCTATTCGTTGACGACCCGATAAGAATGTAGTTAGTTTTCTGACAGGTAATTTGTTCTGAATTGGTGAACTTTTTATAGTGTCTTCGTAACTCCTCTGTTTCGAAGGACAAGAAAAGCGAGGGCATATCAGTTGAAAAATTATCACCAAGCAATTTAAAACGTGTGGTCAAATCGCCAGTGATTCTTCTACATGGTAATGGAAATAGGTTCATTTTGGCCAGCCGAGCATCATACAGGAGCTAATCAGCTTATATGTGGTTCTTCGAACCTTTTTCAACAGCTCTCTGTACCTTTTACGTTAGGTTGGCTGCTTGTAAGTAGTACTCTTGTTTAAGACATAGCACATAACAAAACGTTTTTAGCCGAGGGTGAACTCAGATAGAAGGTTATCACAGCTCCTCACATAAATCTAAACTCTTTTCCTACTACGGATTAAAAACGATCAAATATTAGTCTTAGGTCTACATCAGTATAAGTGCACTCTTTAATGGTACTAGAATGATAGACTAAATCAAATATTGTGGAGTTGGTATGATGCGTCTACTTATTGAATACGATTTTGCGTTATAATTACATCAATGTCTGTTCTGACTAGTCCCATCGTGGAAGTTGTTTAAGAGAACCTTTGGGGAAGACGTTTGGTCATGTTATAAGTAGTGTATTACATGTAAAAACTAACAAGGTACATAAAGTGATCCAGCTCGTACAGCTGAGCAATAGAGTCTTGATTAATTGCTTCCGCTTTGAACTTAAATAACTTAATCCAATTGTTAAACGCCTAGCTTGAATCATGATATTTATTATAGGTTTGACTTCAAGGATCATGTGACAAATAAACAACTTTATTCTCCTGCCCCTACAATTTTCCTACCATACAGTTTCATAGAAATATATCATATTTAATTCTCGCATCTAGAATTGGTCATCTCAAATGGTATTCATTGTAGTCCCAGAAGGGCATTCGCGAATTTCGCACATGCAGTCTAACTTTCCACATCACAGGAATACCTAAAATTATATATCTGAATAATATCAGCACATTCTTCTGACGTATTCAAATAAATAGATGATATTTTTACAATACAGTTAATTAAGGAGACTAAAATTCATACCACCGAAGTTTTTGAATGCCTATTTAGCGACTCGGTGCATTATACAGCTCTTAGTGTTTATTACCACGGTATAAAAAGTCTTTGATGACTCGTCTTTACATTTCCATACGAAATAAAACTGTTGGACATGAATACTAGGTGAAACGAACACCGTCTACACAATAATTTGTAGTCCGGTTCAACTCTGTAGAGTGATCACAAATAAAACATGCAACTACACCAAATAAAGTGACATTTAGAAGAATGGTTAATCACTGAGTAAATATTAAGAAAAGACACCACTTGGTTCTACCACGAGTTTATCCTATCTGAAGTCGTTTCCTAGCCCCTTTTAGTAGGATGTCTCAATAAGAGGCTAGTCAGTAAATAATATAACCATAACTTTTCTTTCACTACGAATGACTATTCAGTCTATGCATATAAAACACAGATGTTGCCAAAATCATTATCCTTACACTATTTCTCAAAATATTAATTTTTTTCTATTTATCCCTAAATTATTATCACTTTATTTATCACTTTTCTTCTCTAATTTTTTCATTTGTTTTCTACCGTTAACCACTTTCTAGATTTAAGCAGATAACTGCCTGGCCACTGGATATGCAGTATCATATGTACTCGAAATTTATCTCATGAAAGTGAAATATGTCAATTTATTAGTTGCCGCTTGATAAAACAATGGAAAATAATTGCAAATCAATTATGTTTACTGCCGCCCGAACTGTGAGATAAATTTAGTCTTATTAGGCATACTCAACACTCGATTTAAGGATTTGGGGTAACTTACATGGGGCAAAAATGGGCAATAATTTCACGATGTTTAACTGGAAAACTTTGCTCAGTGGTGTCATAGGGGATAGTTTCGATACCAGTGTTATTCCCCTTGTATGTAAACCATCTTCCTTAATATCAGATCATCATCGTTCTTGTTGTTAGCTGACGATATTATTATCTGTAAAGCGGTAAAAATGAGGGTGATAGAATAAAGCTTCAAAAATAATCTGCAAAGATCACCCTCATCCTTCAGAATTCGCCAGTTGTATATTAAGTTGCCCATGTGCATTATGACGCATACTGTCCACCAAGTACGGTATTGGGCTACCTATTGTCCAGTCATACACTGACCTGGGAGTAATTACAAGTCAAGACTTAAAGACGATTGTATGCTACTATGCAACAGCTGCAATAAGATTTCGATTCTTTTGATTAATACCTAGAGCCTTTTCACTATGTGGGTGCTGAGACTGTAAGGAGTCTGCACGCATCGTTCCTTCAACTTTAACATCAGTGTAACGACCGGACTACCAGTATTCGGGCTGAATGTAGGACTGACGAACCAAATTGTATTCGAATAAGTCAGACTACGATCTTCCGTATAGTAAGTCAAGCGTTTTTGAGACACTCGTATTAAATTATATCAAAACACAAATTCTGTGCTCAATTTATACGGTTCTAATCTAAGAAATAGAACAAATTATATCAAAAATACAAAATACCTCAAACGCTACAGCCTGTGTTATACAGTCAGAAGTTTCTCTAACGCAAAGTAGTGCGCTAAAAAATAAAGGAAACAGTCAACACCAAAGGATTTGATACCTGAGAATCAACAAATATATTCCCAACAAACGGGATCAAAATATCTATCTGCAGGTGTACCAGAAATCCTCCCAAGCAGACAGTCAAAGGGTTAACAGTCACACTTAATCACGCCGTGACCTTGAGCTTAGTCAAACACGACCTCACTGTCAATAGTCCGGCAACATGCAATAAAATTAAGTAACAAAGGGATAAGTTTTCAATCAAAATTACATAATAAAAGCTGAAACGAGATATGAACAAAGGTTGAAATATATAACAGGGAGAAGACACAAATGAATGAAAACACTGTCCAACAAAAAACTGTGTAGGGATTTTCATCGTTCTTCTTCCGTTACAATCAGTATTGTAAACAAGCAACTATCTCTTGACCAATATAAAAGATTGACTGTTGGGTAACGTTTAGAGAACCATAACCAATTTGATCCATATAATCACTGAACTTATTCTCATTGCTATATAGAAGGATTACAAGTTACTTGGTCCCAATTATTTAATTATTTGACAACAATTTCTCACCATTCAAGCCATAATTAGCCATGCCTTTCAAGGATGGGGATTAACAGGGGCGCTATAGGAAGTTCACATGACCAAATTGACTCTCAAAGTACAGATGATTTTCAGATCGAACTATAATTTAGTAGAACTTCATACCTCAACGCTTGGTTAAAAATCTATTTATGAACGCATTCAAAAGTACACTTAACCAAGTGGGGGACTCTCACATCGAGTACCAACGTGAACTCTAAAGCTTTCTATCTTCCTGAGAATATAACTGAGCACAACTATATTGGATAATGAAGCACTCAGGTCTAGCGCTGCAACTCTGGAAGCATTTCGTGCCCACAGACTCCAATTATGACTGGAATCCATATGCATCCGGATAGGCCACATGATGCCGGGATCAATCACAAAATGAAGTTGGAACTGACCACTCGACTTGTGAACTGTCTAGATCATAAAAACGTGGGAAGTTTGTAGAATTATGATGTACTATGATATTAGTTACTTACTTGTTACGTACGCCTGTTGCTCCTCGTGAAGGAGCATAGGCCGCTTACCAGCATTCTCCATCCAACCTTGTCCTGGGCAATCCTTTCCAGCTCTTTACAGTTCTTATTCATCCCTTTCATATCCGCTTCTATTTCCCAACGTAATATGTTCTTTGGCCTTCCTTTTTTTCACTTCCCTTCAGGATTCCAAGTTAGCGCTTGTCTCGTAATGCAGTTTGATGATTTCCTCAATGTATGTCCTATCCATTTCCATCGTCTTTTCCTAATTTCCTCTTCAGCTGGAAGCTTGTTGGTTCTCTCCCACAAAAGGCTGTTGCTGATTGTGTCCGGCCAATGGATGTTGAGTATCATGCGTAGAAAGCTATTGATAAATACTTGTACCTTCTTGATGGTGGTTGTTGTAGTTCTCCAAGTTTCAGCTCCGTACAGTAGAACTGCCTTGACGTTCGTACTGAAGATTCTGACTTTGATATTGGTTGAAAGTTGTTTTGAGTTCCATATGTTCTTCAGTTGAAGGAATGCCGCTCTAGCTTTGCTAATCCTCGCCTTGACGTCTGCATCTGAGCCTCCTTGTTTATCGACGAGGCTTCCCAGGTATGTGAAGGATTCTACAACTTCCAGAGTTTCGCTATCATGAGTTATTGGATTGCTGTTCTCCGTGTTGTGTTTGAGTACCTTGGTTTTTCCCATGTGTGTTTTGAGGCCTACTGATGCAGAGACTGCTGCTATGCTGGCTGTCTTTGTCTGCATTTGTTCGTGTGTATGTGATAGGAGGGCTAGGTCATCTTCGAAGTCCAGATCGTCTAATTGGTTCTGAGCTGTCCATTGTATACCGTGTTTTCCCTCCGATGTCGAGGTCTTCATAATCCAGTCGACCGCCAGAAGAAAGAGGAAGGGGGAGAGTAGACAGCCTTGTCTTACTCCGGT